AATTCATATTAAAAAAGTATTTTTTATGAGTGCATGAGATGAAATAGAGAATGAAAGTCTAATTATTACAAAATATAAGGTAAGTTTACTTATTAAACGGAGTGTATGTAGAATGGGGTGAACTTAGTTACTAATGGAATGGGTATAGAAGGGGTGAATTTAGTAGTTTGATAATAAGAAATTAAATAGAGTGGGAATGAAGATTTGTGGGGTGGGAATAGCCCCACCCAAATTTAAATTCGATTGAATTTTAAGAATATTTAAGTTGACCTCAAATGGAAACTGATTTTAATTTCTCAATAAATTTTTTTACATTTACAAGAATTCACAAGAAACTTTTAGATTTTTTCCTCACAAAAGTTACACAAACTCACATTACAAAAATGATGCAAAGATAATGTTATGAATTTTAAGTAAAAACCTATAGAAAAACAAATAGTTATATTTTTTAAAATTTGAGATAAAATTTATTAAAAATGTTAGAATTGTGAATATTTGATCAATAATAATTATATTTTTTTAGATTTTTGAATTAATATGTTACAGTAATTGTAACATGACTTTCATTATATAAAGATTTGATTATATATGTTCTACATACAGCATACAGGTTGAATAATATCAATTTAATCATTGTATTGTTAAAATTGTATTGTACATTGCCTTTATTTATAAAAAAATATTTACAATTTTTACGGGTAACGTAGTGCCTTTAGACACGGGTAATTACTAGTATATATATATTATGACAAAAACATTGTGATACATATACTGTAACGCCAATGTCACACTACTTGTGAGTCACACTATGGGTATCACAAATGTGACATTAATGTCACACTGCATATAGACATAATATACAGAGTTTACACATAGATGGTATCACACTATGACTCACATAAAGATTCAAAAACACGTGATGAGTATCACAGTGTAAATCAAATGTCACAATGCAACCACATATCATATGCATTGTTTTTTCATGATGTGGGAATCAAAAATGTGACTCCAATATTATACTGCAAAACAAACATTATATATAATGTTTTGCACAGAGTGGGTATCACACAATGTGCTTAAATGTAACATTGCATAAATAAAGAGACAAAATAAAAGGGAGAGAGAAAATAGGGAGAGGAGAGTAACATGGGAAAGAGAAAGAGGGAGAGAGACAGAGAAAATAGAGGGCGAGAGAAAATAGAATAAAAGGGAGAGGAGAGTAGCATGGGAGAGAGAAAGAGGGAGAGAAAATAGAGGGAGAGAGATATTAATGGTCAAAGTCAAATATAGAGATAATAAGAAATCTTTTTAAAATTAATGGAATCTTTTCAAAATTTAAACGATTAATTATCATTTACTTTAGGAAATCACTTAACCATTAATATAGAATCAAAAAAAAAAAATTGTCCAAATAAAATAGAAAACTGAATCTCACAATTAACTGTCTAACTTATTTTCCACGAATAAAAGAAATTTTTTTTTATGTAAATAAAATATTTAAAAAAAGTTAAAGTGTATCTGTTCCCAAAACATTTATACAAAAAATAACTTATATACACAAAAAATTTATATTAAAGTATTTTTTCACAAATAAGTAGTTTATGGTATATCTTTTCACAATTTTCCTAAAAAGGAATAGATCTAGAATAGGGCTAGGGGATTATGGGCCCAAAAATAAACTACTATAAAGAGAAACAACCGAGTTATTGCTTCATCAATGGGTTTGTTGAGTTAGGGTTAGTTTAGACAATTAATACAAAGTGTCTTAATATGTTTTCAAATGAACTTAAAGGTTAAAAAAGTCTCCAAAGAGAGATCAGATGGCCTCTAAAAAACCATTTTACAAACTCCAACCCTAGCCCTAATTTTTTTTCGAGTTGGGCTAGGATTAAGCTTGGAATTATTAATGAGTAATTTTATTTGGACCAAGTGTACTAGTCGAATCCATGTCACAACTAGATTAACCGTAGATCTCAATATTATATATATGTTACACTATCAATCAAACAACAGTGGGGAATTGTTCAAATTGCTCCGGCAACTATAACCTTCCAGAATCCGATGCTTGTGATTCTGGACGACTTCAGTCTACTATGCCAATTTTGGAGAATGCCTACCTGCATAGGTGAATTCCTGCAATGAATAAAGATAACGACTTGCCGGATGATGAACCTGAAAAAATTAAAGGGTTAGGAAATGGGACTGGTGAACACCCGGTTAATCCCATCTAAAGCTTAAATCAATCGGTATTGGAGACATGAGCACAACATATTTTTTTGGTTTTATTTTGCGTACCTTTATTCATCTTTCTGAGGGGCATTTATACTTGAATTAACAATAAATGCAAGAGTTTTGAGTCTCATTTCAACATTTAATGGCATGCACTATTATCCATGCATAATGAGCGGCCTCCCCTTAGATTCTCACAAGACCGATCCAATCGAGCAATCGGATGATAACTCGGGGCACACCGAGCATTTATGGTTCTATACCCGCTTATTAAATACATCTGATCGGTGCTTGACACCTATTCCCGGGCATTTACTGCTCGAGAATAAGGATCTCGGGGTTCCCGAGAATATCGGGTCGGCGCAATAGCCATTAATGCACTGTAATGATGACTGTCCTTGTGAGTCTCGAGGACACAAAAATTCATTAATAGCCCAGTCATGGTTACTCAAGTCGTCATTCATGAGTAGTCATGTTCCCTTTAATGCTGGCTTCAATCGGTGTATGCTCGACTCCTCTAAGTCATTACTCCTCTCCTTCTTTTGGTGGCCTTTTCGATCCATAACAGTTGTACCTGTTCACGTGTCAACTTGAGACTATTGAGCCGTCTAAAGTCCGGTCAGTACCCTACATGGTCTGCCCCTCCATATGTCATAAGAGTGAGCACATGGCACATTAAGTGCATTGTGCAAAGGTGTTGAAATATGAATAATTGGACTGTACCTGAAGTTTGGTATACATCAAATGCAGGTCGTTGGGGTTCCTTTTAATGCAGTTTGGAATACAGCAAATACATTAATATAGACAATGACACATGACCTTCTCCTTATGCTACTGCTTCCTTCCTATGGGCTTGATGAAGAATGATCCTTGTTTTGCTCTTGCTCTATCACAAAACAAACTGTATTACACAATTGAAACATTAATCTGCACACTAACAGCCACTGGCTTAGTCTTATGTCGCACATCAGCTGGGCTGGGATGATCATGTATGCAGCACGTTAATCTTGACAGTTGAGTCGTAAGCCAATCTTTGTGCAGTAGTAACTTGATTATCGGTTGTAACTAATCTTTATTTAATTATCATCATTAGTAGTATAATCGTACTCTTATGATCGATACTAATTAAATGAAAAATGATTTTCCTAATCTTGCGGGAAAAGGTGTTCGTCATCTTCCAACTCTTTATGCGAGTTGGAAATTGAATACCAATATGAGTGCATTCCTTAGCAGAATTACTTTGACCCATAACTTGCACCTTATGATTATCAACCTATCACATCCACCCTATAATAGGCCTTCAAGTTAGAAGACTCGAGCCTTTTTTTTTTTTTTTGTGAAAATTGAGACTGAGTTCTTTTAAGGAATTTATAATGACTCGAGTCTATCAAAGAAATTTATTTGATTATAAATCTATTTTTTATCTTATTAATAAGTAATTAAATCCACAATTTTTTAAAAACTCTAAAATACCCTTCATATAATGGTTCAATAGTATTAAATGTTAATTTTGTTTCCTAATTGGGAAATGCTCAGATTTTTTATTTCTTAATTCAAGCTCATAAGATTTTTTTTCATAAAATTTGAAATTTAAATTCAAGAGTCCATTTTCTTGTTCTTGTCAATAGAAAATCTAGAAGGAATCTTCTTCCTCGTGTCACTAGCAAGCCGTCATATTATTCAAATTCATCCTTATTGAAATATTAAGGTCACAGCGATAATGCTCAAATCGCTTCGATCTAAGCAACAGAATCACTAGTGCCACATGGCACGAGTACATGGCTAGCAAAGAAAATCCGAACAGTCGAAGTTGGCATTATTCACCAAATCCTTGGTGGCCTTTATATATGTATGTGTGTGTATATATATATATATATGTGTGTGTGTGTCTATGAGAGAGAGAAATAAATAATTCTATTTTATATATGAATATAGATAGATATGAGAGATAATTTTAATGTTAATCAAATTTTTAATTGATTTTTAAATTTGTTTTAATTAAACATAATTGTTAGGGGTATTTTGGACAATAAAGATCAAAATTGACTTAATATTAAACAAGTTTCTTTGATGGACTTATAATCAAATAAGTCCACAAAGAAAGACCGGCCTCCAAATTTTCCTTTTTTTTCTTTAGATGGATCATTGGCAATAAGGTTGTAATTTAGATGGGTCCGACAAATTGTAAAGTCAATTTTGCTCACCTCCAACTTTTAAATTCTTAATTCGAGTTGAATCCAATCCGGATCTTCAACTTCACCCCTTTAACCCGATTAGAGATTTGTTTCCTTAAACTCAATTCAAACACTAAAAATCCTTGTTGATCCGAAGATTACCCCCCATCCGCAAGTTAACAAGCATTACATTGGAATTTTAAATACCCCACTCGTCATGCGAAGATCACAAGTTCGAAACTTTTTCGAGTGATACTACATAATTTAAATGAAATTTAAAAACTTACAAATTAAATGTATATTATTTTTTGAATGAGTGAATTTTATCAAATTTTTTAGTAGGATCCACTCATCTAACACTCATCTCATGAATAATATATATTTAAATTATAATTTTTGAATTCTATTTGAATTTTATAGCATTTTCTAAATTCGACTCCCCTGTATCGGCACTGTCAAAAAAAATTAAAAAATGCTAAATAAACTTAAAAAACATTGACTTAAAAAATTAACTTGAAAAATTTGGATGGAAGCCACATGAATAAGTAGCCACCAACTAACACGGGCGAAGTAGTTGAACTCCCTCTTCCCTCAGCTCTTAGCTTCATTCATTCAAGTCCCTTTGTCATCTCTCTCTCCCTCTCTCTCTCTCTCTGCTACTGGAAAGTAATGGAGGGAAAAGCAGTGATGGAGAACAGTGAGGTGCTGAGTTCTGAAAAACCCAGAAATAAAGAAGAAAAAACAGAAGCAAAAGAGGGCCTACAATGTATAACTGATGGAAGCAATGAGGAAGAGCAGAAAAAAGTTAGTCTGATGAGAGCCTTTGTCGAAAAGCAAGATCCATCTTCCAAGGTTCTCTCACTTCTTCTCCCAATGGATTTTTATAGCATCATGCATGTAGTACACAATATATATTTGCTCAAAAATGTTCAGGTATGAAGAAATTATAAGTGATAGACAATCTGCAAAAATTAAATTTCTCGGGTTTTGAGCAATTTTTAAAATTTTTAAAATGAGAGCTGCTAAATTTTGATTCAAAATCAGTTATATGCTAATAAGTGCTCAAGTCAGTATAATGGAAAAGATAAGTGGTAGACAATCTGAAAAAATTAAATTTCTGGGGCCATCTACAATTTTTAGTTTTTAAAGTGAGGGCTACTAAATTTGTATTCAAAATCAGTTATATGCTAAAAAGTGCTTAGGTCAGTATAATGAAAAAAATAAGTGATAGACAATCTGAAGAAATTAAATTTCTCTCGTTTTGGGCAATTTTTAATCTTTAAAATGAGAGCTGCTAAATTTTGAATCAAAATTAGTCATGCTAAAAAATGCTCAGGTCAGTGTAATGGAAAAAACCCAGACTCAAAAAAAAAAAAAAACTTACAATGAAAAAAACAAGTGATAGACAGTATGAAGAAATTAAATTTCTCGGATTTTGGGTAATTTTTAATCTTTATAATGAGAGCTTGCAATGCTAAATTCTGATTCAAAATCATTCATATATCTACTTCAATACCCCACTTAGCAGACAGCATCTGGTTTACTTTTTGACTATATTTATTTAGCAAAGTTTCTCTCATTGTGACTCTTTTGGATGCTTCTAATGTCTTTGAAATTTCAATGTAGTTTCAGTTTTTCACTCAAAATATCAAGGGTAGTAGCTAAAATAGCCATGGAATAGTCAGTTCAGAGGAATTGACCACTGACAAATATCTGATCAGATCTTGTTAATAAATGGGATCTGATCACATCTCTCGAACGATTTGTCCAATAGTGAGAACAGTCATCACATTCACGTGAAAAAGTGTCAAAGGAATCGGGGTCACACATAAGAATGAGTGTTTTTTTGTGTTTTGTCTTCTTGGGCAGTGGGACTCCTGCTAGTAAAGAGAAGCATAACAAATGAAGTCCATTTCTTTGGAATCCTACAGTAGTACTGCTAATAAAAATAGAAAATGAGAGAGTCAAAAAGTAATGAGAAAATGACTTAGGGGTATATCGACTCTGGCCATTCGCAACATAACAATGTACTTGTACTTCGGTGTTTAATAATGTTTGGTGCTTCTCACTCCTTGCAGCTATGTTTTCTTGACTGATTGCACCAACGTTTTTCATGATAACTCACAGATGTCACTGAATTTTTCCTCAAGATCACTTAAATTTTCTTTAAACTTCCATCACATTCTTGATCTCGGAAAATTTTGTTTCTTTGGATCGATTTACAGGAAGTAGATGATTTGATGATGAGAAGGTTTCTCCGTGCACGCGATCTCGACATAGAGAAAGCTTCTTCTATGTTCTTGAAACACCTGAAATGGAAACGAACATTCATTCCAAACGGATTGATTTTGGCATCGGAGATCCCAAATGACCTAGCACAGAACAAGATGTTTATGCAAGGAATGGATAAAAAGGGACGACCCATCACTGTTGCTTTTGGTGGTAGGCATTTCCACAACAAAGGCGGTCTAGACGAGTTCAAACGTATGTTCTTGAAGCCCTTTCTAAGTTTTTTGATGTCTTTTACTCACAAGATAATGTAGTTCGCCTAGTAGATGTTGAAGTTGAACCTGACAATTAACCTCTTCTTTTTTCAGGATTTGTGGTTTTTGCTCTTGAAAAATTATGTGCAAGGTAAATCCCCCCCCCCCCAAAAAAAAAAAAAACTTCTATTCCCGAGAATCCCACATGAAACGAGAAAATTTTTGGTTAGTACTACACACCACATGACACCCAATGACACCCAATGAGAGACTCTTACAAAGCCAACTTATGGGACACGAGAAAATTTTCGGTTAGTACTACAAACCATGTGGCACCCAATGGGACACATGAAAATCAGCTTGTGAATCACACAAGTTGGTTTTGTCAAAAAAAAAAAAAAAAGAAATTAATGAAGTGATGTGACAATCTTTTATTGTGAATGTAAAATTTTTTTATAAGTGATGTACACCACATTGCATTGTCATGTAATGTGTTATTCACACCGAAAATTTGCTTGAAATGGAGCAGTCTCCTTCAAATTTTGGACCATAAGAGTAGGTGAGGTAGTTCCATCCATGTGCCCCATGACCCACTAGATGAAACTATATTATCATAACTTCTTGTCCCCGTTGGAACAATAGGCTGTTATACTCATTACTTCTGATTAGGCTGTTATGCTCGTTACTAAACTTGAGCAATAACTTCTTAGTTTTGGCATTCAAATTTTGGACCATGGTACTAACTACTTCCATCCATGTGCCCCGTCACCCACTGGATGGACCTACGTTGTGGCCCAAAGCCATATCTCCCATGTTTTTGAACATCCCACTATTCAGCCACTATTTAAACAGTAATTTCTCACCATCTCAGTAGAGTAGTCTTTCCTCTAAGATTTTTGGATACTAGTACTAGCTGTTTCCTTTCAACCTCCACCAGTAACCCCCCCCCCCCCCCCCCCCCCAAAAAAAAAAAAAAAACAAAAAAAAAAAAAAAGCAAGTTGTAAACCACGTTTGAGGCACATGACATTCTAGACTGATCTAACACAGCTTGATGTACCAGGATGCCAACAGGACAGGAGAAGTTTGTTGTCATCGGAGACCTCGAAGGTTGGGGATATTCTAACAGTGATATTCGTGCATACCTTGGAGCTCTAACCATTTTGCAGGTATAGTCTTCAAAACCAGCATCTTTCATTAACTTAAATATACTTGTCAATCTCTTTGTTGACTCAAAATTTCTTTTTGTTTTGGACGAAATAAATGAAACGTTTCAGTTTCTGTGTAAACCCAATAGAATCTGTGATTAAAAACTATACATGTTTTGAAACACGACAAAATGTTTAAAAATCAAAGTTCTAAATTTTTCCCATGTTTTCATTCTCTTTACATTATATTTTCGTTTTTTATCTGCCCAAAATCATATAGAGAAATAAAATTTTGATTCTTACTTTATTGCAAATCTTCGATTAATGGACACGCGTCCACACCTTGGGTTAAAATCCTATGATGGGAGCCTCTCTCACTGGGACATAGGGAACCCATTTGCTATTGCATAGAAGTTGTAGTACTATGATATGTTGAAATTTGAAAAACTTCTGAATTAATTGCTTGCTGTTAATGACAGGATTACTACCCCGAGAGACTAGGGAAATTGCTTATCGTCCATGTGCCTTACATATTTATGACAGTATGGAAAATTGTCTACCCTTTTATCGACAACAATACTAAGAAAAAGGTGAGATTTTGATTTCTCTCTTCCTAAAGATTGAGATTTAGATTCTCTCGATCACACTTTTCCTCAATTTCATTCAATGGTAGATCATCCATCGTGTATGGATGAAGTGCCCACTAATAAATAGTGGGTCCGTATTAATGGTAAATGATCTACTATTGTGTGAAAGTGTAATAGAGAAGATCGAATCCGAAAAATTGCTGCATTTAAATGTTACCATGTTACCTTATCATGGCTATGTGCACTGTTGAAGAATGATATAACTCCCATACCTTCTCAACATGTGCTGCCAATGCTTCACAAAGTCCAACACTTAATAAATAGGTCAACACAGACTTGGTCATACACAACACTAACATTACGTTACACAATATGACATTATACAGTTATAAATACATTGATTGTGAATTGAACATATTTTGATATGGAAAAACTTAGACACGACTTGACATGAACCATAAGCAACCCTAATCACAACCATGTGCAATTTTAGCTGCAAACAAGAATAGGACTATCATACTTACAGGAGAAAAAAAGAAGAGGATTATATTTAACTAAATTTATGTATTTTTCTGCTAATACAGATTGTGTTTGTGGAAAATAAACGACTTAAATCAACTCTGCTCCAAGACATCGACGAGAGCCAGCTTCCAGAGATTTATGGAGGCAAAATGGCATTGGTTCCCATCCAAGACAGCTAACTGGCGAACTTGCCTTTTAAAGTGCTATTCTTCTTTATTTGCCAGTGTCTTGAGGATCAGATTAACTCTGACTTAATCCTGAAATGGCAGGAGCTTCGTGGGTTACAGTTTTCTTTTTTCACCCTTTATAGGCATGATTTCTTTCAACAGTGATGTATTACATAAAGAGTATAAACTTATCTACCAGAGGTGCAATGATTCACTCAATGGGCAAGGTCTCTGATATAAGTCCAGGATGGCCTAGCTGTGGGAGACATGCTGCCTATTTTACTTGATAGTGTGAAATTATGGATAAATTTACAGGTTTGGTGTCTGTAGAATGAATTGGCTCCTGGTATTATATCTTATTAGTAGACGTTGTATAATGGTGGAGGACCCTTTTATATATGTTTAGTCCTACTAGTATTTATAGGGTGATCTCTTATTAAGGGAAGTTGAAAAAAAAAAGGGTGTTGCAGAGATCCAAATCTGAAGTTCTGGTACATTTGGCTCCTCCCCAGTTTTAAGGTCTCTATAAATCCAATAATTTATCGTCTATTAGTAAGAACCCAACTTAAACATAATCGATTCCATCAGAATTCATGATAAGAAGATAATTTTAAAAGGAATGTGGTAAGTAGAATTAGAGAAGAGTGGTACCCCATGGTGAAGTGCAGTGAGAACGGTTTTTGTGCTTGGATATAGAGAAGAAACAAGAGCATGAGCACCACAGCATCAGCTTCTGATACAACTTCTTGGGAAATGAGTAACACTGCATATTTGTCTTCGCCCGTGAGGATCCTCTGTTTGGGTGCTAATGATGTCAATCTACATAGTTACTGCATGCCACAGCTTTCCATCGACCTGGTCAGAGCATGGTCAGGAAGAAGATCAGCTCCTGAAAAGTTGGAGCACATCCAAAAGATGAGCAGTTTTTAGAATAGGAACAAAGACTGTGTCCAGAAAAAGGACCCGAGCACTACAACCCAACGCGATATGAAAGCATTTCCTAGAAGCAAATTCGCGAAGGGTCCAAAATGGTTTCCCATCGAAAGCCAACATTATGGATGTGCAAATTTGCATAGAGGAGTTCACCAAAACAATGGAAGATTCCAAGAAGTGTCACGAATGTTAATTGAAATTTTGCAATCAACGTTTGGATGCATTTCCACCACATTTGAAGGTGAAAAAATTGTAAAATTTGTCAATATGCTTTGCTCAGTCCAAAAGCAATATTCATGAGCAGAAATGGTCGAAGAAATACCTCTACCAAACTTTTGTAATCGCACACTCAGTAGAGGTCAATTTAAAATGTTGAAAGCTGTAGACGAAATCCAAACAAGTTTAGTAACTGGTTATGATGGAATGAAGACCCCCTCAAATCAGCCTTATCTTATTGACAATCAACAACACGTTCTCACCTTAAAAAAATGTCAACTTGAAACCGTCAGGGGGTGTATGGCCCATCTCCTTACAACTACCAGAAATGTAAGACTGGAAACATGATTTAAAGGAGCCACTTTAAGTTCTTCATCTAGCTGACTCCTTCAGGTTACCTAGGGAGTAGGGACCTAACCTCGAGCCATCAACAATGTTAGAAACTCAATGTACTCTTCATCAGGCAGTTGATGAAAGCCATTTCCCCTTGCCACTTGAGAGACGTAGGTGCCCCGCAACCAGTGCCGGAGATGACAACTTAAGGGAGACCAGGGCAATAACATCCTTGCCGTTAGACGTGTTCAGCACAATTGAGGATCAAGAGACAACCTGTTGTTTGTTATGTGCACTTGTTGTGATTACAAGAGGGTAAACATCTCATAGTTGCACTACCTATATCCGATTTTGAAAGTTCTTCAAAGCCCCCAACTGTTGGGAGGTCAGATGTCAATAATAGTCATTCATGCCTCAGGAGTCAGGACTTGTGATTGAGATGCAAAACCTTGGACATTCAGACAGCAAAGGATTATCAGAAAACTCACCACACATGATCTGGCAATAGTAACATACATGTTGTCCTATCATTTTGCATATTAACACACTGACCAATTTCTATAGGCTTGTTGGTCAACCAACCAATTTTACCTTAAAATTTTAACCAGCCCATGATCATTTAGCATAAGCAGATATATAAAGGAAAACTTCTCTCATCCTACATGCAGGAAAGTTCTCAAGGGTAGAGGTTAAAATCTTGGATAAGTAAAAGATTGACAAAAATTTTGTCTACAATATTTC